CGCCGAACTTTTTTACATATTGATTCCGCCGGTTATCGATTACCCCGAACTTTTTTACTTTATACAGTAATAAAAACATTTAAAAGAAATGTTTACATTTATGTTAAAATATATTTTATTTCATTAGTAGGTACACACTATAACTTACTGTAATTTGTATTTAACTTGTAACGAAATAAGTTGAAGTAGAATAATACACGAACAATGAACATATAAATTGAACTTTAAACTGTTCAACTGTATCTATAACACAATACTATAGGTACACAACTATATTTATTCCAGTGGAAATCGCGTATTATCGCAACGGACAACAGTTTTTATATCTTAATCAATATAATCTATAAAGGTTTATGAAAAAAAAAATATTTTATTTCATGTAGGTACCTATATACACCTACATACAATAAAAGTAAGTACAAGTCTTATCGATCATAATTCATGATCTTAAATATTGATAACTATGTTCTGCAGTGTTAAAATAATAGACATTTAATGACCGTTGTAGTCTTGTGCGCGTCTTGTGTTACACCGTGTCAAAATTAATTTTGAAATTGTTTATAGTGAACGGAAAAATCAATTAATCTTATATAAAAAATTTTAATTTTATAACAAAGCGTAGGTGTGTTAAATACTTAGACGCTAATAAATGGCAATGTGTCAATAAAAAGTGCACCTTAAAAATGTATGTTGATCTTGGCATGCAGATGACTAAGTGTACCCTAACCTATACTGTTAATTAAAAACAATTCTGTATAATATGATACTTTGGTTATTGTTTAATAAACAGTCGGATGAATCAACTTAAATAAATAACTGGCGGAATCGATAGTCGGCGGAATCAATATAAACAAAAATCCGGAGGAATCGATAGCCGGATGAATTGATATTAAAACGGCGGAGTCGATAAAACCCAGTTTAGGTTAGGGGTTTAGGGTTCGATCCCGACTCGGGTCGTCGGATAGTTTGATTACACTTGTATTTTTTTTTCTATTTTTCCGGACTTCACTTTTTGCACTCTCAGCGAAGAAATAGGGATATCTCGTGTTACTCTATCTGATTGCACATGGAAGTTACAATGTGACGAAACATAAAACATTGTTTTGCGACATCGCATTCGGTAACTTCACAGGTAGGGATGATATTAACGGTGTCTACAACATCTCCGCGATACCCATAGGTACTGATATTAATCTTCACATTTCAATATCATCTCCGAGAATCATTTTTGCACACATGGTAACCGCTGTAGTCTGTGACACCCATATCAAGGAACCGCGACTTTATTATAGTAGATACCTATTTCAGGGCATATGAAACCGAAAACAATTTGTTTGTCAAGCCTGCACCGAAATTTTAGTTTTCGATGACGGTTGAGCCATGGGCGGATAGGCACTTTATTTTACCAGGATATATTTATTGGGGCCTCGTATATCTATGCATATAAAAATTAATGTATGTCTGTCTATTTATCTATGTCTGTGTTTCCATATTACCATGGCAACCATTTATATATTATTTTGAGATTTCCGATGGAATTTTTTGTATGTAAACGGTTGAAATGGTATAATGGGTAAAACATATTAATCATATAGAGTTCGCATTTTTAATGTGCAACGAAGTGCACGGGATCAGCTATTTTTATATATATATATATATATAAATAGATTAGACCTCTGAGCAGAAGATAGGCTAATTTAAAAAGGGAGATGACCAACCTCGGGTGGTGCTCAAACCGGGATTTTGAGATTTCCGATGGAAAATTTTGTTTAAAAATGGTTGCATGGGTTTTGAAGCTATTATAATAATAATTATTGGTTGCCGGGTAACAAATAGTGCACGGGATCAGCTAGTTAAATAAAAAAAAAAAATGCTCGCAAGCGAATGTATAATATATTTATTTATATTTACATTTTATACATTATTTAATTTTAGTAGTTAGTAGCAATGTACCATAGTACATGCAACATATTAATAGCCAAAAGGTATGTATTTATACGGGTATCAACGCGTATAACACAGAGAGCTATAATGGCTAATGGAGTCTACAACAATTACAAATACGCAGGCACGCAGCCGCCAGCCGGTATTATAAAAATTAATTTTTTAATTTTTAATTTTTTTTTTTTTTTTGGGTGGCCTCTGAGCATAATATTGATGGGGGCCTATCGGTAAAATCCCGATTTCCCGATGGGCCTATCCACCCATGATTTAAGAGCTGATGGAAAGCGACCTTTTTCGGTTCAGCGGGCGTAAAATGGGAATCCCCAAAAGTGCTAGGCACGCATATCACGCGTATACCCTGCACAACCAGACACCGAAATCTATAACACGGTCCAAACCATAAAAATTTGGTTACATCAGCTTCATATTATAATCTCCTTGCATGACACTTAAACGTTTTTATTTCATGAAATTGTTTTCGTACAATAATCTGGTTGTTGCATAGATAGCCGCATAGTGCATTATATTATATTATATTATATTATATTACCTTTGCCGTGATTATATATTTTTTTTCTTCTTTTATTTTAATATAATAATTATTATTTGCACTGAAATCTATACCACGGTCCTTAAAAAACATAAACTTTTGGTTACTTCTAATAAATAAAGTTGGATATAGGGTATTTACTTACTTCTAACACTCTATACCTTGTTTTCAATTTAGTACTATTTTCTAATTATGATATAAAATTATATTTTATCATCATCGTTACGTCGGGTAAGGAACAATAAATTACAATACACAGCAAATTAAATATTGAAATATATGACTATATTAATTGTTTTATTGTTATTTTTATCGTCATTGTATTTTTACAGTGGATATATACGAAAGACTCAAAAAGAAAACGTAATGATAATGTTATACTTTATAAAGATAATTACACGTGTGTACCTATATAATTATTGTATATAATGTAATAAGGTACGTATATATCTATGAAAAAGTTGATATAGGTAAATATAAACGTAATTTGATCCTATGGAACACCGTTTAGGTACACCTAAACACAAATACATATAATATAGAAGTCGAGTACATAATATATGGTATATATATATATATGTGTGTGTGTGTACACTGTATACAGACAATATAATAGTACATTTAGCATATAATGATATAATATATAATATAATAATACATATATAGTTATTAATGACTAGAAATACAATTAAAAATAAAAATATGTAATCGTAAAGTTCTTAAAAAAATCTAAATATTTCAGTCTACGTTATTTCTAAAATATACATGTCTTACATGCTATATTACTAGATGCGCTGCTTTGAGACGTACATTCTATACCTATTATACCTATGAACATCACGATCGTGAAACACATACCTTGTAGTAGGTACTAAACGTAATTCACACCGTCTACTTTCGTCTGTCGTCCTCTATACCTACCTACATTGTATCACGATGAAACACCACCGTACGATTAGTCCAATGAAATATTATCGTCTCGAACTCATTGATTCTATGCCTACATTATTAAGTATACACGTCTATCCTACGTCTTGTACACACTCTGAACCGACTCTGATAAGGACGAATGCTGTTTTTTGTCCAGCGGGCTATAGGAAAATGTAGGTATTTGTTCAAACGAACCATTTCCTGGCGAGCGCTTGTGTGTAAATTAAGCCACATTAGTATGCCACAGTAATTATGGCTACACTAGTTAATCGTACCTAAATAAAATTATAAGATACGATAATGGCGATAGGATCCCATACACTGATACCCATGTCTGTATACAGAAATATTCGATTGCGGGACGAGTGTGGTATTTCGTTCAAGGGGATGGGAATATCGGATTGCAAAAAAATAAATAAATGTTGTTTTTTGAAATGGAAATTACCGATAACAATCATCGCGGCTCCACGATTATCGTGTAATCAAGTACCTATTAACAATAAGTATATTTACAAAATTAATGATTTAGTTTATTTATATTCTCGAAGAAAGTGGCGAAAAAGAATTGATATTGATCAAAAAAAGCCTTTATCGAATCGACGACCGTCGCCTAACAACATATTCGGCTGTACAATTTTTTTAGACTAATTTTGCATTTTAAAAAATATAATAGAATAATAGGCTTTTAGCGATGAAAAACGCCCACAGCCATGGTATATTTATACCAATATTTTTGCGTACACACATAATACAAAAACGCGAGCATAAGGTAACCCAGCAAACGAAACGCAAAAGTACAGAAAAAATTGTTGCGAGTAGACTCGACGGTGATACAATATACCTATATAACAGCAGCCCTACGGCTGGTGTAGGTACATAACAATAGATAGATCATCGACCTATGTCGTTCGTATAAATTCGCACTAATAATAATTATTAAAGACCTAAGCTAAGACTGCTATATTTTAAGATATAAACCTATAATCTATAATATTATCCATTATTTACATGACACGTACTACAATTATAATATATAATATGTACACTCGTACGCGGTGTACGAACCGGAGTCGCACAATTAAAATTTTAGTATAATTTTAACACGTTATCCAACTATAGGCACACTGTATGTGCATAGAACGAAAAACAAAGTCTTAACAAAATAAAAAAAAACGCGTCAAATATATATTTGTTATACCTATAATATAATATAGCACGTAAATAATATAAAATATGCGCAGAGGTGGGCCGCGGGAGAGGAGACGTGAGATTATCGGAAGATGAAACGAAAAAGACACTATAGGAAGTGGAAGAAACGGAAGAAAAACCGACGAATATACACTTATCGCGGAGTCCACCTGTTGGCGGTGGCTATGGTAGGGCTGAGGAAGGGTTTATGGAGGACACGTGGTCGGTTATGTTACAGCGTGTGCAGTATACCGTCAGATGGAACTCTGGTTAACCGGAGTATAAAGATTTTAGAGAGAAAAACAATTTCCAACGAGAAAGACGCTCGATGCGCATATACAACCGACTGGTAAAAGAAAAGTAGCCACAAGAATGGAGCCACGTGACATTACGAGGACGCAACCGTCAGGTGGTCGTCCATCTCTTCGTCGGACATGGCGACCGTGGTGTGGTTGTACAGTCCCTGTGCCATCAGCTGCAAGGCCAGCGGGTTCTTGGAGCCGCTAGACTTCTTGATTTTGGCCCGCTTGTTCTGAAACCATATCTTTATCTGGGCTTCGTTCAGACCCAGCTCGTTGGCCAGTTCCTGGCGTCTGCGTTCCGTCAGATACCGGTTCTCGTTGAACTCCTTCTTCAACCGGGACAGCTGCTCGCCACTGAACGCGGTCCTGGGTCGCTTCTCCTCCGGACACTTGTCCTTCCGCTTCATCCTCCGTGAACGGGGTCCTGCAAATGTCCCAAAAAACATACGATTATTATATGAAAAAACGAGCACAAACTGCACGTTATTATAATATTATATATAGGTATATTACAGGTACTTTTAGGTTATGGGTAGGTGTGTAAAAATCGGTGTCAATTATGTTAAAAACTGTTAAAACTGTACTGTTAAACTATTAATTGTGGCTTTATTCACGCGATTACCTATAGCCTATAGGTAATACAATTGGTCAGAAATTCTAAAAACTATACAAAACATTCCTCGAAGTGAAAAGAAATGAATGGGAGAGGGTGAGGAGCTGCAATAAATATAAATACGTATTTACGTGCATGGTGCACCGCATTTTATATGTATATATATTTATTAAATAAATATTTAGATTTTTAAACGCCGATCAATTTTTTTCCCTTTTAGGTATATCCCAAACAGAACATTTTCTGGAAATGACATATATTAAGGATTGCTATAATTATATTTATATCACTTTGTATATTTTGAACTCTAATTTATTAAGACATTGCATTTTTAGACGATAAGATGGTAGGTACTTGAGCCACCTTAGGTCACAGAAAAAAGCTCAAACACCGACAAACTTCGCTTTCATTTTTCAAAATCGCGGCCATTAAATCATCGTTCAACGACGTAGTGATCTCTCCGACGTACACTCGTTTCGGTATTTAATGCTCGGCGGGCTGAGGATATTTATAATAATAATATATATCATGTCGTATACAGGCGTACAGCACAAACACGCGAGTTATTTTATTAATCGCATAACGCGTTGTCCCTCGTCCACGATTGTTCGTCGGCCGGTTGCGCAGGTTTTTGGCCCCGCGCCAAACACGACGACGACAGACGATTGTGCGGCGAATGTATTATTATAATATGTTTTATGCACACATCGATATCGCGATAATAAATTATTATCATATTATATTTTGTCGTACGCGTGCGGGTGTGTATAATGTTGTATTATAAATACTGTGGAAAACCGGCGATCTCTGCCCTACAGTATAAGCACAGTAATATAATATTATTTAATATATTATACGCCTGAACCGCCTATATTATATACCTGCCCGCCTATAGCGATGTGTACAACGTGCAGAGTTCCCACGTCAATTATTACCATCATAATATTATTATTACACACGCGTTAGGTTAGGTCCGACTGGTGAGTGTGTGTGTGTATGTGTGTCTGTGTGTATAGCATAATATACTTACTCGAGTAATAAATGATACTGTGATCGCCGCACGATCGCAATTAAAAAAAAAATCAAGCTTGTTTGGCAAACGTTAACGCGACGCCGCGCCGGTGGTAATATTAGGTATATTATTATTTGTTAAAATACAATAACATCAATACAATAACGGTTCCTATTACATACATAATAACTACAGCGGTAATAATACCACAGCGTTGTCGACAAGATAGGTAATTAAAATAGTTAAATTTGAAATAATAATGAGCCACACCCCTCCCCCTAGTAAAAAATACTTCTACATTTCTGATTCATGAGTTTACAATTTTAACTCGTAAAAGTAATTTTTGCATGATTTATTGAGTACCCCTAAGTGATGTCAATCTTTTTAAGAATTGAAAATGTTTACCATCTCCATGGCCCAACCCAATATAAATCCTGCAGGAAACTTAGAAATCAGCAAGGACCATCTAATTCGTAAACAACGATTTGTTTTTTTCTTAAATACAAACATATAATGAAAAGAACTTATAGGTAATATTTAGTTATTTCGTCTTAACATTTTTGTTTTATTTTGGTATTAATTAATACTTATGTATGAATAAACAACAGTGTCTACTTAATGTGACATTGTGACCTAAAATCGTTCAAGTTTCTTAAAAACATAAATTTCATTCACTTCACGAGCTTATTTCGATATGTTATTTCTAGCAAAACAGTTTAAAGTCGGGAACGATAACGCCGTCTAATTTACACAAATTAAAAATTACATTTCACGAAATGGTACAATCCTATGGATATATAGTGTTTATATCTGGGTCAGGGAATTGGGGTTCGACTTAACAATTCGCCCCTTCACCAGCATAGCGCCTCACGGAAATTCGTGTTAAATATACGTCCGACTTTCCGTGTATACGAATAACGGAGTTTTCGGGCCCCACCGCAAAACATCAGACGTGTATTAGTACTTACATATAACAAATGTAGGAAGCCGAATATAGGTGGGTATATTATTATATTCATGAGCTGTAATGAGGGTGTCTCCGAGCAACAGCTATTACATGGCTGAAACGTCAACTTGAATGCTGCTGTTAATATAATATATAGAGCTGTTATAATAATAACTCTTCCAAACTTAACATTGTATACCTACGTTTCGTATTATATATACGATTCATGAAGGTGCTCGGCAGACTAATCAAGGTAAATGCAACCGCACAGACAGACTAGGGAAAATGAACTTTGCCAACTCGAGCAGATAGTGACGATTACGTATAAGTATGTGTTTACTGTATATTTTACCATCCCTGCAGACTGCAAAGCTCGAATTTGCTGTCCATCAGCACCGACTAGCGTCATACACTAATTACTAGTATATTATTTAATTAGTTATTTATCATTATCAAAAATGTTTCGACCAACAATAATTGGAGATGTAGAAATGTAGGTCCCTACCAATAACATTATTCAGTATAAGTTTAATTTGAATGTCATATAATCATGATACTGTATAATGCTGCAATAAAACAAAACTAGACTTTATATTTGATTCGCAACGTTTTCGTCTTAAACGAAATTCAAACATGAAAAAAAATCTATGGTACCCTACCAGGTCTCGTTAAAAAAATTAATTTTCGTGGGATAATAACATCCGCCGGCGACTACTTTCAAAAAAAAAATGAAAATTATTTAATATTGTTGATATAAGTATAGCTACTTCGAAGGCAGGATCGAAATATATGACACCTGGAACCATTTTTAGGCAATCAAACGCAATTTATAGGGTCTTATGTTCATTATTCGGCAAATACATTTTAGGGCGCCAAACCGGAAGCCCTCCTATCACACCACTCCCCGCATCAACGGTACACAATGTCTCCATAAGGATAACCTCATTATATTTGTACTCGCGTTATACTGCACTGTCTATATATAGGAATGGAGGAATCCGGCTCTGAGTACCTACGAGTATAATGTTATATATATCTGACGTGCTGACCTAACCACCGTTGTCCGGGAATTTTTCAATTCGAGTCGGCAATCGTAAGACACGTATAATAACAATATATACTTATATACCTCACGTAATTACGACGACAACCAACGATAACATATTATGATATTTATTATACGAACCGCCGCCAAAGTCGTATCTACGGGGATGATGATACTTTACAATATATTATATTGTGTTACACGTTTCTACATCGTTATAACAATATTATTATGTAGGTCTACGCGATGATAATATTATATACCTGTGTTTCACCTGTGCTTCGCAGCCGAGTGGGCGGAGCCGTCAGACGAATCCCCTCGGCAACCCATAATACTACGAGCCTGTTGCAACGTCGATTATTATTTGGGAACCATCGTGAAAAAAATCTAACGTACCCATCTATATTATACATACATATATACCTAATATGTGTGTGTGTATGTAATACCCGCAGCACCACGATCTTTTTGGTTTTTTTCTCCCATTCTTTCCATCCAAAAAATATTTCATCACTGTGTATGTGCATATCATAGTGTAACTACGACATCCGGAAGTCGTATTTTAGGTCCGACTCGTACACGTTATTATAATCACCATCATTCATCGTCGTGGTCGTCTCACATTCACCGTCGTCTAGGTGACATTAATTAGTTAAGCAATTAAGCTTGATTGAACTTTTTAACTATACCTACATTTGTTATAGAATGACCACTTTGCTGATGTATGTTGTTAATACCTTCCGTCGAATTAACCCTTTTCACAATAAAAGTCAAAAAAACCAACAGATGGCATCCCGAGAAAAAATAAATAGATAAGTACCTATACTAACCGTTCTCAATAAACTAACTTATATAGAAAAATGTTATCAATCAAGTATCATCACGTAGCAATCAGTCACACGACAGCCCTATACGGTTCGGATCGAAGAAAAAGACCAAGGGTTATAAAACTATAACTTATTGAAGTATATTAATTATATTATTTCTATATCAAGTAATTGAGTCTTATGAAATCTTTTATCAAGAATTTTTTTTTGTAACTCAAATGTTAAAAAAATGAAAAATACTAGACGCAGTGAATGACTAAAAAAAGCATTACATTTTATTTATTTTCATAGCGGATAACATTATAGGCACCCGGTATATAACCTAAGATGCAAAATACTGACAATTGAATTTAATGATTTTGACTTATTTATTTAAAAAATGTTAGAATGGTTTTTGAAATATCGAGTAGTTTTCAACTATTTTACGTTAAATAAAAGGTTATATATAACTATATAAGTACATACAAAGAATCTGGCAGGTACATAAATTAAAAATGTATATAATATATTATTGTTTATCTACAAAACCTCTTGTTTTTTTTATTCAATGTAGTTGAAATTCCCTATAGGAACCTTTCTAAGGATCAGATATAAACTATTAGATGAAATACTTTCAGATTCAGAAATGTAGTCTCCACCCTCTAGTAAGTACCTACCTAGACATACTAGGACTAATCAGTGCAGAATATAATTTCAGGAATAGCTATTGCCATTTACCGTACGATGTGTGGGTTAGGTGCGCGGTGTGCTACTGTGATATATATGTACAAGCAAATAGTATCTTCACAGCATCTCAAAAATCAAACATATATATAGACGAGTGTGATGCGAAGATATCGATTAGACCGTAACGTCGGAGAATCGCGTCAGTACGACACTATCATCGTGCTAATGCGTTTCCGGTATTATATTACGCCTTTGAGACGCGCGCAGGACCGCCTCGAACGACGTTCGAAAACGCACAACAAACCGCATAGAACCGCGGTTTCGGAAGTGTATACTC